CTTCTCTTCAAACTCAAAACTATACTGCCTAATACATATTATCTCATTCTCCAATCTTTCCTTTTCGACAGATTCTTCTCTGTCCGACAGGGTTTAGAAATTTCCTCAATTCGACCAGTATCAGCAGGGGTACCTCAAGGATCAATATTGGCACCTTTACTCTACATTGTCTATACTCATGACATGCCTACCAACTCTGAAACATTGACTGCTACTTACGCTGACGATACAACAATTTTAACAAAACACCATGACCCCAGACTAGCCTCATTAAATTTACAAAATCATTTACTAAATTTACAAAATTGGTATTCACTCTGGAAAATTAGATTAAATCATAACAAATCACAACACATAACATTTACGCTTCGACGAGAAACATGCCCACCAGTTTATATCAGCAACAATCCAATTCCTCAGACGGACAGTATACGCTACCTCGGACTAATATTTGACAGAAGGATGACCTGGGGCCCACACGTCAAAATGAAAAGAAAGAGTTTGAACAAGCGACTGAAAATACTGTACTCACTGTTTTCTAAATCAAAATTGAAAATTAGACAAAAACTAAATACATACACTTACCTGCTCAAACCCATTTGGACATACGCCTCACAGATTTACGGTTCAGCAAAAAAGACTCACTTACAAAAACTACAATCCTTTCAATCTAAAATTTTGAGACTAATAACTGCAGCTCCCTGGTACGTCATCAATAAGACTTTACATACCGACCTAAGACAACCAACCATTGACCAGCACATACGTACTCTTTACTCCCGATTTCATCTAAAACTACATGGACATCACAATGGACTTATCAAAAACATGGCCACGGCTGAAATGCTCATCAGGAGGCGACTGAAAAGGAGCTGGATGAGAAATCTCCTTTCCTGATTTTAGGATGTAAACAGGCCAGGGAAGAGGTGCTGCTGGGCTCCATTCTTCGTCATGCCTATCATGTCATTTTCAATTTAAACAGCAAATCTGCTAATTGTCACTACCATGACAGGTGCGGATGAAGATGTAAAGACAAAAAAAAAAAAAAAAAAATTTTAATCATTTAAAATTTAAAATTTTAATCATCTTTCTTTTTAATCATATTGTGAGTCGAGCTGTTGTGTACAATGTGATATGAAGTATCACAGGGTGACTTAATAACACCTCAGAATTTGTATCAGAAATCATTGTATTCTTGAGTACGTCCGAATAAAATATAAAAACTAAAATACAGTAAATATGTACTAAATATAGTAATTTGTATTAACTAATTAGTCTGTAATTTAAAGTTTGGATTGAGAAAAAATATGGCTGGTCAACAGGCACATAAATTAATGGTTTTTAAAAATAAATAAAAATATGTAACCAACCATATAATTTAGTTCACATAATTTACTTATCGTTTAATGTGCTAGAACTTTCAAAATATCTAAGGTTTTGATGTTTCTTATATTATATTTAAAATTTTAAAGTTGTTTTTAAAAATTGATAAAGGTTATTAATAAATTTATGGAGGATTTAGAAGACGAATGATTTGAAATGAAATAAATTCAATGTTATAGTTAATGTACATTGTTACATGCGCACCTTTAAAAAATTATATTATTAAAAATGCATGTTTGCATAGTTTTTAAAAATTTTTGTTTTCTAATACACATTTATAGTGTTGGGAAAACGAGGATTCGGAAGATCCGAGCAGTTCAAACCTCCTTTCTTGAATCTATTCCAATCTTGGTTCGAAAGTGAAAAGGAGTCCACTTGATATATATTTGCTCCTGAAAATAGGGAAAAGGCCTATTTACAAAAGAAAAAAAGATAACCCCTACAGCAGCCGCTCACAAAAATGTCTTATCAGCATCACTCAAGCCCCCTCGCTTTTCTCAGGCTAACCTTTAGAGCCATGTAAATTCTACTCATCCTCTTTCTCTGAGGCGATACCTTCTTTCAGAGGAACATCGTAATAAGGCCATCTTTCTGTTAAGCAAAGTTATTTCGAAATGTATCGTTGCTTCTTAATGGGAAAGGTATTATGTTTATTAAAAATTGGATCACATCTAATATCTATCCTGTTACACTTGACTCGTTATCAAAGCGAAATTTTAACCGATATTCACTGTTTTATGTCACAAACTAATAAATATTTAAAATAGAAATTATACCATACAAGTATTGATGATTTTAAACAGTTATATTTTCAGTCGTGTTTGTTATTTTTTTTTTGTCTATACAATATATATATATGCGGCTGTCAAATTGTTGACAAACAGCAAATGTGATGGCGATACAGGATATAATGAAATGACAGGCCTGGAGAAAGAAAGTATTCAGCAGTACCTCTTCCCTAACTTGTTCCAATTACTCCGGTTGTCTAAAGATAGAAATCCCACATCCAACGCCTTTTTAGTCTCCTCCTCATGTTCTGAGGTATGTCAGCTGTGGCCATGTCTCTTATAAGTCTGTAATTATGTCCATTTAAATTTGTATAAAATCGTTGATAAAGGGTTCTTACATGTTGGTAAACTGTTGGAAAGTGGAGGTCAGTATGTAGAGTTTTGTTAATCACGTACCATGGCGATTTTGTTATGAGTCGAAATAATTTTGATCGTAACGTTTGAAGTTTCGTAGGTGGGTCTTTTTAGCGATGCGTATATTTGTGATGAGTATGTCCATATGGGCTTAAGTAAGTATGTATATGTATTCAGTTTCTGTTTTAGTTTTAGTTTTAAAGATTTAGAAAAAAGAGAGTAAAATAGTTTGAGTCGTTTGTTAAGCGTCTTACGTTTCATTTTAACATGCGGACCCCATGTCATCCTTCTGTCGAAGGTGAGTCCAAGGTAAAGTACTGTGTCCGTTTGAGGAATTGGATTTTTGTAAATATAAACTGGACGGCATAAAAATTCATTTTCTGAAAAAATTTAATTACTTTGTAATGAAAATACTCTATACTTTAAAAACACAAAATACATATTATTTTAAATACATTTTGGACAGGTCTGGTTGCCACCATAGATTAAGGCGCTTGGTTCGACCATTCCGCAACACGCGCTAGTATTGCATGATTGTCTTCTCTTAGCCCCTTAATTAGACCATCTATTAATGTATTGAGTTTATTATTGTATATGATATATATATATATATAATCTATTGATATATCAATATTAAATGAAACGAAATAAAGTTATTAATATAGTACCAGTCAATGAAACATAACAGCAGTATAATAAGTTCTATTTACGCTACTTTTTACTTTTACTTAAGAGTTTTAGTGTTTGTTGTTACCTCTGAACAATTGTTATAAACTTAATTATTTAATGTTAGCATTCTAGGTGATGGGTTTGACCCAATTTCGTGTTTGTATCTGATTTGCCTATTTTTAAAGTGAGTTCTAATCGATTTTATTGGAGATTGAAATAAGTATATATTTCCACGTAAAAACAGCCAAGAATAAAATAGAGCAATTATTGTTTTGTCAAAAACATACATAAAATCCAAAAAAAGTTGTGTTCATTTCTGAAACCATTTTTTTTTTTTCAAGAAATGTAATAAAACTTATTTCTATTTCTTAGGTATTCTTAAAAAATAATTTATCAAAACCCGTTTTATTCAAATGGAAAATTTAAAATAAATTTTATTTGTAAAAAAAATATTTTATAGTATAATTTTTTCGTACGATTTATAGTACAGTTTCTCTGCGAACCCCAATCAACATTTTTGTTTGTTCAATAACGGGCTTTGAAGAATAATTCCAAAAGGGGTCATATTCAAGTTTCCATGTTTTATAATTACTATTGAAATAACCAGAGATTTTTACCAATATGTGGTACAAATTTTCCTCAACTAAACTCCTGCCTCAGCAGGTCCATCCATCTCTGATGGTTCATTGCATCCTCCTCCGTCAGTCCCCTAACAGCCATACTCCCAGCCAATCTATCCTTCCATCTAACTGTTGGTCTTCCTCTTCTTCTAGCGTCTGCCTCCCAATGCATAATTATCTTTGGTATTTGATCATCATCCATTCGTCCCACATGGCCGTACGATCTGAGTCTCCTTTCTTCTAACACCTCTAGAATAGTTTTGTTTACTGCCAATATGTTTTACCCTTTCGATCCTGGATATAAAAAGTTTCATATATATTTTACTTTTTTGTGTGTGTGTGTGTGTTTCTTGAAATATTGTTGATAAGAGTTTACGTTGGAAATAAGCGACTCAAGTATAGACCATGAGATAGTAACCAAACAGCTAAAATCAAATTAATGTTTTTGTTTACAATAATTGAACTTTATCCCCATTGTTTTCCTTTTATGAAGATTCAGTGTGACTGAACTCGGCTACGCATCCCTTCACCACAAAACTAATCGGTGACAAATCCTTGACAAAGTCTACCCCGCCAGCAAGGCATTGTGAAAGAGGTCTTCTGTCAATTACTAACTTGGCTCCTATCCCTTTTGTAACTTTGTTGAAAAGTGCTTTTTAGTAAATGAACTTTGTATTGAGCCTTGTTACTGGGGACGAGCAGCTAGTTACTTGTTAGTTGAAAGTGATGCGGTGTTTCACCTCATCTCTTCCCAACGAAGCATCACTTCCATGACTGCAAAAATATAAAGTTTTAACTTTTTAATTGTTTTTAAATTTTTATTATTTTTTTTTCCATTATTATTGTATGGGCCGAAAGTTTCACTTTTAAACTTTTTTCTGAAAGTTTCAATCTGAATACACTCTAAAAAGAAAAACTGAAACACATAATATAATTTCCAGAAAAAATATCCCGAATAATGCTTTACCTTTTCTATTAAATTTTATTAAATCTTAATTTATTCTTTTATTTAATCTTAATTTATTATTTTATTTAATCTTGATAAAATAATTAAGATCGTCACGGGTGTACTGGGATGTAGTAAAATGCGCCATAAACTCATCCAGATAAGAAGCTAATAACAATAAAAAAATCAGTAAAAACATGCAATGCTTAAAACTCTCCAATCGATAGATTAAAAACAGACATGTCCAACGCGAATCCTAATGGTAGGATAAAATTATAAATTTATCAAGATATTAATTATTATATTTTATAAAATGTTTTATGGGTCATATCCTATAGTAAACTAATTTATCCTGGGTCGAAATGAAAAATAACGAAAAACAAATAAGCTACTACATCAATTATGTAATCATACCTATGATGTTTGTCTGGGACGAATATAAAATTATTGTCGACGGCATTACTTGATTTCTTTTTCACATAAATAAATAGCGCGTAAATTAACTCTATCTGGTCAACATTTCCTATAATAGAGTGCAGTGCCAAAACGTACTTCCTCATGACATTAGGAATAAATATAAAATAAAATATCTCTTTTTGCATCCAAAAAACATTACCGGTTACTTTATGCAAAAATTCAGGACCAACGCTTTCTTCTCAACTTATATATATTTCACTGTCTACCATTCCTCCTGTGTATCTCAACTTAACCTACCGAAAATCGTTCTCTCACCGTATTACGTGAACTCTTAGAATGAAGTTTAACAGATCTAATATAAAAAAAAAAGAAAACTAATAATATATATATATATATATATATATATATATATATATATATATATATATATATATATATATAGTAATTGAACAAAAATAACCTGTACCAAAATGAAGCATAATAAAAAAAAAATGAAACCACTTTACAAGTAGTATTAATAAAATAAAAAAACACAACAACAAATAAATGGAATTAAAAGAAAATTCCTCTAAACAAAATAATAATGAAATATTTTTATAAAAGTCGATATCTTTAAACTCCCTGAATTAATATATTATTAATATTTTTTAAAAATTTAAATGAGTGAAAATTCACTAGTAGACTGAATATAAATGTTTTTTTAAAAAAATAATGAATTCCAACAACGCAACCTTATGTCTCTAAAATGCAGGTAAAGAATAAAATAACCCGTCAACATTTCACCAATTCAAGCATCATCAGGACTGAAAGGAAACAAACACAAGATCAGATCACTCCATGACGTACAGGAAGGAAGGAAGGTTAAATTCAAGCAACTGATCAGCAATAAATACGCAGATATAAAGATGTAATTACAACCAAAATACATAAATAAAACAAAAAAAATTACAAACCGTACGAAGAAAAATAATGTATTATTTTTATTTCTTCTTAATTTTAGTTGTAATTATATTTTTTCATCTGTCCTTTTTTTATGCTGATCAGCTGTTTTATTATCACCTTCCTCAGCTGTGTTACCTAGTCTTTCGAGTATGCAGTTGGAAATCATGAAGTCCTGTGATATTGGGTTTACTTTATTTTATGTCCAGATAATGCCTAAATTGGCGAAACGTTAACGTATTAATTTTATTTTATAACTACATTTTAGCTACATACAGCTGTATGGTCGGAATTTTACAAATGAACATAGCATTAAAAAATTATTTAAAGCACTGTACTGGTTTACGTGACAGCGAGAAGGTGAGATGGACGAAAGTATTTCGGATGTTCTAACAGCAGACACAGTATCTTCCTACTTTGCATTGGCCAAATTCAATGTTCAACGAGAGATCATCAAAATGCAAGTGGGCAGTACAATAGTTGTTAATAATGAAGAGTTGTTGCAGACTGCTTGTATGAAGTATCTGGACTTAGAGACTGTATTATGCCTCCATATACACATTCCACCATAATAATTCGGGATCATAAGCATGTGTTATATTATTATTATAATATAATAATAATTTACAACTGCTTAAAATAAATTATTTCACTTTTTATTATTGTTATTTTCCGTTGGCATTACAGACCTTGTGGATCGTTAACAAGCCTGCTCCATCTCGTCCTGTCTTTGGTTATTATTTATCTCCAGTTATCTGCACGCAGCTCTCTTGTATCTTTATTGATTCTTTCTATTATTTTATTAAATAATAAAAGGAAATTAATACTGTAAGGGATTACACTGTAGTATTGGAATAAATTGTAATTATGTATGTTTCAGGAGCTGATACGAAGCCTTCGGACGTTGACGGGCTGGGGTACTGGACCCTGCTTTACGGTAACGGGCCGGGATACAGCTCGCCACGGACCGTGCCCGGTAACCAGACGGCAAAAAACGCGGTGCACGGCTCGGCGGCGCCACGCCAGTGGGCCACGCACGGAGGAGAGGACGTCCCAGCCATGGCCACTGGGCCTCTGGCGAGGGAGCTCTTCTCCGGAACCATGGATCAGACGGTCATCGCCCACGCCATCGCCTTCGCGGCCTGCCTGCCACCCTACGCGGCGCGGTGTGTGCTCAATCAGACGGCACCCCCACCTCCTCAGGTAACTATCGTGGCTCAGTAATTGTAAAAAATTAGTCACAGTTTTCAATAATTTCTAACAATTATTTTTTTTATCAATGTTTTCATACCTGTCAACTGCATATTGAAAATCATAAAATGAGCTGAAAATAAAGGACAGCAGCACCTCTTCCCTTCCGTGATTCAATTACTTAGGTTATGTAACGAAGGATCTTATCCTGCACTTTTTTAGCCTCTTCCTCATATTCAGTGGCAAGTCAGCATAAATCAAGTCTCTTTTTTACCTGTTTACAATATCGTTGGTAAAATGTCGTTATATGTTGATCAATTGTTCGAAGGATGATGTCAGTCACGTATGAAGATGCTTTTAATGCTTAAGAGTATTTTTACTTTTGATAAATATAAAATATACATATATATATATATATATATATATATATATATATATATATATATATATATATATATATACACTATATATATATACACACTAAATAAATACATATAAAATACTATGAGCCTAAACATTACTTAAAGTAATGTGAAGTTTATTTCGACAGACGTTCTTTGGTTGTGCCAGGGAAGGTTTAAATTTTTCCGCGTTACGGCGAGTGGTAGGGGTAGATCTAAAAGATAAACGATAACACTTAAGCCTTGTGAGCTACTGGTTGTCTCTGTCCCACTTCTTGACCACCAGTCACCCAAGAGGACCAATAGTCACTGCGGAGGGCCCTCCAGGTAAAAAAGATGTAAGCTGGCATATAGACGGTAAGCTATTTTTTGCACAATTATTAACCTACCAATCCCTTGAGATACAGTCCACTGCTTAAAATTAGAATGTTGCCTTATTGAAACTCATGAAAGTTATTTTTCCATAATTGGAAAAGTTGCCTAAACAGCCTATTTTTCAAGGAAAGTAATAAAACATGCTTAAATCTTATTTTTTTTTTTAAATTATCGAAAATGAAAATTTAACTTTTTGATGTTCAGGAAGATTAGGAACATAATTTAATTCAGGAAGAGTTTTATGTTGGCTTATAGTCCTAAACATTGGACATATAAATAAATTAACATACATGAAAGAGGAAAATTTTCATACTTCATACTAAAAATGTAACTTTTTTCTCCGAATCATACACTATTTTATCACTCTAAAACAAACATTAATCAAGTTTTTTTTTTGTTTAAAAAAATAAGGGCTTTAAAGATAATTCTTTTTAAAAGTTGACTCTATTTAAGTTTCATTTCCTTTCATTACTATTGAAATAACCGGAGATGTTTGAAAATATATTCTACAAAGAGAGAATTTCTTATTTTATTTTTTTTTAAATTGGAATACAAAATACAATTTTTTACGTATCCTGAAAAATTATTAATAATAATAATTATTGTTCACTTTAGTGATAAACGACTAAAATGATTTTCAGAATCTTATAAAGTAAAATAGGTATTTTTAAAAATTGTTTCGTAAAAAAGGGCCCTAATACGCCAGATGCCCTTCTAATACCTCAAAGAAGGACTTAAAAGCGACCAAGTAAATACTATTAGAGTACTTTATAAAGCCGGTTTGTATAAAACCCTTATTGTGAAGGGCGGTGCTCACGGCTGGGGGCTTTACCGACAGTTTTAAAGGCTAACTAACTCGTTCGCTAAGTTGAATTCACCCTCAGCCATAAGCGCTCTTAAGGCCCCACACATTGCCGAATTTGCAGGTCCCTATTAAAAACTCATGAATATTGATGTGCCATAATAATTCCACCTTACTTGGGCAAAATGTTTCCGAGAAAACATTTAACCAACCGCGAAGGTTTCTAGGCTTCATACCCTGTTGTAAAGAGAAGTACTTGAAATTTCACATTACAAGAATATCTTATTCTAGAGAAAATACCTCCTTCTGTCATTGTTGATGGTATAACTGCAATGATCGAAATAATAGTTGGTATTGAAAATAAGAATGTCCTCTCGATGTGAGCTCCTTATGCAAAAATTGGGAACATATATTGCAAGCGGAAACCAAAGCATTTCCGCCTGACATATCTTTTATGTTACCATATTAAGCAACTGAATCATGAAAAATGGGATGTTTGAAACAATAAAAAATTATTGGAAAATACTATTTTTAACACGGAAATTGGATTTTAAAGGAAAACTGACCTGTATAATTAGATCAATAACCGTTACAGTCCGTAGTACAGACCCCTTTTTATCAAATTATTATCATCCGTCTCAAACTTCGTAAATAGCTTCATCTCATCGTAACCTACAAATAATATATTTACGAAATTTCTCAGATTTAGAGCGTTTTCAATCTGGAGGTCAGCAAAATTTGTCTTTTTAATTTAGTATTAAAAACTAACTCTTAAATACCAATTTGCTTTCCACTTGAATCATAAGACGACTTGAGTACAAAGTAAAAAAAAAAAATGTAGCCTTCAAAAATATTGAGACGTTTGGCTTGACATACACGGCCAAACTGTCAAAATAACGAGGTTATATAGACCAAACAGCCCAATATTGTTATAGGCCACTTTTTTTCTCTATTTTGTTATCTAATTATCTTACGATCCAGGTGGAAAGTAAATGGACATTTGCGAGTTTGTATTATATGAGGAAATAGACAAAGTTTGCCGACCTCCAGATTGAAAACGCCCCAATTACAAGAATTTTCACAAATAAAATATTTGTAGGTTACAATGAGATGAAGGTATTCACGAAGTTTCAGCCGGATGTTAATAATTTGATAAAAAGGTGTCTGTACCACGGACTATTATACATTGTACTTTTATTAGTTATTAGTTATTTAATCATACATAAATATATATTTGATAAACATTTGTTAATTTAACCAGTTTTTATATTAAATCTGATCAATGGTTTAATTTTATTTATCTACATTGGGATTACTTTTCTATTGCTCTCCGTCAGACATTTTTTACAAAAACATTTTTTAACTCAAATTATAAAAAAGGAGCATACCAAACTTATCTATTATTCACTGTCTCAACTAAACTCAATTGGTATTATGTTTGTATAAACATAAAAATATATATTTATTTATTTTACTGTATTTCCTCTATTTTTTTCTTATTTTAGCTGACTTGAATGCTTTTGTTTTGTAGTAATCTTAATTGCATTTTTCATAATTCTCATTGTGTTTTTATTATTTGTATTTTAGTGATTATGGTTATGGCTAATACATTTCCAATTTTTTTATAATATCTGTTCAGCGGATTTTTAATTTTTGATCTCATCTGACTTAAGTATTTTAATTTAATCTATTATTATTAAAAGTTTTTCTATTTTTGTTGTTCTGCTATTTCAATCATACAATACGATTTGATGAAGAATGAATAAGTAAAATGAAAAATTTTCATTCACTTCCAATTATTGAAGTTAGATATCAACATGGTATTATTGTATATATTCCACCTTACGGTCTGAACATTATGGTACAGACGCTGGAACTCTGAAATAACTTAACTAAATATTGAAGCTTTCAGTAGTGTTGATCAAGTTGTAAGCCATAACTCCAAACTGCTAATAACTTCTTGTTGGTACTCTTGTAATTCGTGAAATGAAATATTGTTCAATTTTCTACCACGCCTTCTTGGAAATTAGTTCTGTTTATGCAATGACTTCAAGACTTGTTCTCTAGAATATTTTACTAGGTAGCTTTTAATTAATAAATATTTTTATTTTAAATTATTCATTTGTTTTAGTTCCTTATATAGTACCTATAATTAATAGAATATTTATTGTGATACTCTGGTATAGAATAATAAATGAAGTAAAATATGAGTACTGTAAAACATTAACATAAAATATTATCCATTATATTCAATTGTAATATACGATTCTGGATAATTATGATATCTCAAGCAAGTTGAAAATTCCTGTTATAAATATTTATCTATTTATTTAATTTCTTCTTCCCTTGCCTCTCGCCAATACAAATTTTTGATAGAAGTAGTTGATACTTTTACCACTTATCTTCAGGTTCTTCAGCGTTCGGGACGGTCGTCAACATGTGATTCACGAAAACTTTAGGATATACAAAAAAAAAATTTAGGGCACCAGAAATGTTATGAGATGTACTATCCGATTTTTAAGGCGTGTGGGGTTTTCAGAAACATCATCTATTCTATTAACTCAACCACATTTATAAATAATATAATACCAACCATTAGTTCTTACATCCCATCATACTTATTTTTAAGACATTACCTTTCTCTTTCAATCTTTACTTAGTTTTGTTATACTATATTAATGACGAAGTAAATCATTTATTTCCGTCCTTCCTTGCCTCGGCAAAACGGATTGTTGGTTACGCACTACGTTGGTACGCACTACTTCCAACTCTTATTCTCTAATTCATTTTTCTCCTAGATCATTGAAAAATGTTGAAATGGCCAACATCTACCATGTCCTTCCACACGTACACGAAAGCTTCGTAGTAGAGGTAGTTGTCCGTGCATACTAGCTGAGGGAAATAATGACTTAGGGTCCAGTTTATCTCAAAAGCTTAGTCTTTACAGCCCAAAAGCGGTGCAGGTAGTGATGAGATACCTAGAAGTTTACAGAACGCAACTACAGGCATATAGAGGGTTAATTACCTTTCCTAAGGCTTGACGTGAAACGCCCCATGTCCTGTTGGGTATTGTAAAATCCATGATCAGAGAGGATCTATTTCGCTTCCAACCTTGACTAGACTACACGAAAGTATTTTCTCTAGGCAAAACCGTTATAATAGTTACCCAACGTCGATTCAACAGCTCAATAGTACCCTCTCCTTTAATTATTTTCCATTTAAATGGGTTTGCTCCAATCCTTCCTTGAAGATTTTTCCGGACAGCTTGCTGAGCTTTCTTTCTTAAGAGTATACTTAGTCTTAGCTTCTTACAGGAGGAGGTCGAGAAGTATTCCTCCCTCTAAAACGTGCATCACTTCATGACCAACTGTTCTATAGGCTTTTCTTACTCGGCAATCTTCTCTTCTGTATTTATAAGAGGTTTTGATTCCAGGCTGAGGACGCGTACCTCAGGATATCTAGGTACTAGGTTAGGATATCTACCCCCCTCCGAGGTCGATGGCGCAAGAACCTAACCCCTCCCCTCCTCCAAAGATATTTTATTGCTCACCTTTTCTTAAAAACAGAGTATGCTAAGGTATATTTAGAAAAATCGTAGATCAATTACACTTGCTTGTGGTATGTTGCATGTTTTCTTCTTGTCCCTTAGTCCGAATATTCATAACCCCTTCGAAATTTACCTGACTTCAAAAATTCAAAAACCTATCAAAATATACCATTTGCGCCATGAGACCCCCTTCTGGGCACTCCTGCTTTAGGTCCCAAGTGAATATGTCCTCCTCTTTAGGTTACCAACCCAGAACTATATTTTTTCTTTTATGTAAGAATAATATAATTGAAACATTTTATGAATCAGATAAAAACACCACCTATCACACTATTGTTACTTGTCAGTGATAAGATATCCTTCCACTTCCAGAACTGCCGGCAGGAGACGGTGGTGAAAAAGGCCCCTGGGAGGGGAGGTGTCGTCCTGGCTAGCTCTGTCATGTCCGACGAGTCTTCTGCAGCTCGGGCGATGCCATGTCTTCTGGTAGCAGTCATCCTAGCAGCCATCACCTGATTCCTGGATCTTTCGCTCCGGTGGAGTATCCTCTCACCGTTTGGATTGTCATAAAAAGGACTTTTCGTAGCTATTGTATAATGTATATCTAAAACAATAACAACAAAAAAAGTAAAAAAACAAAACAAATAAAAATCAATAAATAAGCCTACTCTATGTGTTTCTAGCACTTATGAATTTATTTATGTTACTTTATATTTTTTAATTTATATTAAATTTTCTAAATGTCAAATTTAGAGTCGCCTCACCTGACGTTTAATCGGATTGATTCATAATTCCCAACCTATTTTATTTAAATATTATATATATATATATATATATATAAGTATATATAAACAAATATATATATATATATATATATATATATATATATAATATATATATATATATATATATATATATATATATATATATATATATATATATATATACATGCTTCATGATTTTAGAAAAAATCCTATTTTGCTAAAACAGAGATCACTAGCTAAATAACATTTTTTTTTTTCAAAACGGACTTACATCCGTTTATATTTAGTAACAAACAATGATTGTTTGGTTTTTTATAATATAAATGTAAAATTCAACTTTTATTCTTTTAAATTGACGTTTTAGAATATGTTTTTGTTCATTGTCTTTCCATCATTTTTCAAAAATCGAATATCAAAAAGAACAATATTTTCAATAATATTTTCATTATATTCTGTTCAGCCTTTCAGATAAACCTATCAATTTATTGCTTTTTATTTATTCATTTATTTCTACATTTTTACGTTTCTTATTTATTTGACATTTTTCCATCTTAATGATTTTCTCAATAATAGATCATTTGCACTTTTATATTATTTTTATTTAATTTCTTTATATTTTAACTTATATGTTTTTATTATTATTAATGAACTAAATTATTAATGTTAGTCTATGAAGAAAAGTTCTTTATATTAAGCCTTCTTATTTAAATCTTTATTTTACTTTAATCATCACCTTACTTACTGAAAAAAGTATCTATTCAATACTGAATTAATAATGTTTATTTTATTATTATTGTATTTTTTTAAAGACAATTTCTTTAGAATACAAATAGGTTTGGAACCCTGAGTGAGATACATTTCTAGTTTTCAGGAATTTTATCATGTAATTATAATATTCTGCTCAAAAGTAGAAACAGTATAGAAACAAATGTAACAGTTTTGGATCGATTGTTATTACTTAAGTCTTATTTTATGATAAAAATTATATTTTTTTTAAAAAATCCATACTTTTTTTTTTCATTTCTTAGTGACATCGTTCATCGGATTTGGCATTAATATATTCAAATATAAATGAAGACGAAGATTTAGCAAATTGTTGTAAAATTTTTAAAATTGTATTATGAGTTTGAACTATGCTTCATTCATTATTTTAAGGGTAATGTAATTTTGTAGTAAACAAAAGTTAAATCTGTAAACATTATTTGAGAAAACAATTTTGATTTGTTAATCTTCCAAATTCATTCATCGAACTCAATGTATTTAAATCAGTATTTATATTAAAAGTGTAAAAAATCATCATGAATTGCTGATAATATTTTCAAAAATTATAAAAATAAATAATTAAACAAAAAAAAAATCAGTGAGTTTTATAAAATCATACGTTTTCAAACTAATTTAAAAACAAATTAAATATACATTATTAGAAAGCTCGATTAAAAGTGATTCGTTACGTTTTTCTTTTGGAATTTTAATCTTTTAGTCAAACATTTTATTTTTTTGGAAAAAACATGTATATTTATGTTAGCTAATGAAAATATATGTCAAAATATTGCTAGTTTTTTACAATGAAAAAAACTTCAGGTCAACTTATTATAAAATAAGCCAGTCAAAAAAAAAAATTAATAAATAAAATCAATCTTTATAATATTAAAAGTATTTAATTGAGGTAAAACAATGTATCATCTATTTTGTAAATGTAAATATCATTTATGGGCCAATCGTATTGGTTGTAACAATTTTATAAATATTTAATTTATAAAAAAATATGTGGTATATTGAAGTTGAATATTTACATTAAGTGTTTTGGAAAAAGGGAAAATTTAATGAACTGGATACCTTCGAATTTTAATCTTTTCAGATTCATTAATAGACACCGTATGTAAAAAGAGCGAATCTATAACTTTTATATTATATTTTAACATCCTTGTAGATTCCTCTTTAGAAATTTAGATGCCATTATTCTGTAGCAATAGAGACAAAAACATCACTTTCTTATAAGACTTGTCTAATTTGCTAATTTAAAAAATAATTGATTATTTGATTCGCCCTTTTTAGAACACAACAACAATATGTCAAAATTGTTTTTGTTTTTTTTTTTCAACAGAATTGATTTGTGTATAATTCCATAATAACTTCTTTATTTTCTGTATCCCTAATAACAGGAAAACAATTAAAATTCTGTATCAGTTTTGATTTAAACCATATGTATTATTAACTGTAAATATGTAAATATCATTAACATAAATGTATATATGTGTGTGAGTATGAGTAACTTTTCTTGTTCATTAATAAAAATATTACAGATTATTAGTATGAAATTTATATACCTTCTGGTCTACGAATTGTTGATGGATAATGACTTGGTAAGTTATGTTTATAAGTGATTTTCATATACAGAACCAAATTAGTGATAAAGAAGAAAGTCAATTTCATTCTAAGTAAATTTTATTTAGTTTAATGGTAAACGTTTACAAACTTATATATTAGTGTTGGACAATCACAAATTTGGAGTTTTTCAAATCTGTTGAGTTAAAAGAGATATTTTTAATGATTAGAGTTGTAGTTTTTTTTTCATCGGGTAATGTAACATTCTGTCACGATATACGACATTGGTAATAGTGTGCAGAGTTCATTCACGCCTTATATAAAGAAAATAAGTAAAGTAATAATAATTAAAAAAAGTAATGAAATAAAACTAAGTTTAGAAACATAAATTAAATAAAATAACATCTCAAATATAAGCATACCTTTTCAAGAGTAGTTTTTAAAAATCTTAATCTTCATATACGTTAAATGACGATATTTTTGTATTGATTTACGATGTTTATGGTATGTTGTCAGAAAAAAACAGGCCAAATTCCAGGAGTAGGTTTCACACAGGAAAATAATTTTAAAAACTCATATATTCTTATCTGATTTTCATATGTTTTTAATCGTATTGGTTAATTACAAATAAACAAAATTGCAACATTTTCGATTTCGTCATTTAATGGTGACAATTGCCCTCATGATAGTTTAATACCTTCTTTTGATGATGCCTGCAGCGGGGGGGGTGGGTGGAGGTGGGAGGGGGGGGGGCGGGGGGGGGGTAGGCGGGGGGGGGGGTGGGGGATGGTTGGGGGCGGGGGTGCGAGGGGGGGGGGGGAGGGGGGTGGGGGTGGGGGGGGGGGGGGGGGGGGGGGGGGGGGGGGGGGGGGTGGGGGGGGGGGGGGGGGGGGGGGGGGGGAGGGGGTGGGGGGGGGGTGGGGGGGGGGGGGGGGGGGGGGGGGGGGTGGGGGGGGGGGGGGGGAGGGGGGGGGGGGGTGGGGGGGGGTGGGGGGGGGTAGGGGGGGGGGGGGGGGGGGGGGGAGGGGGGTGGGGGGGGGGGGGGGGAGGGGGGGGGGGGGGGGAGGGGGTGGGGGGGGGGGAGGGGGGGGGTGGGGGGGGGGGGGGGGGGGTGGGGGGGGGGGGGGGGGGGGGGGGGGGGGGGGGGGGGGGGGGGGTGGGGGGGGGGGGGGGGGGGGGGGGTGGGGGGGGGGGGGGGGTGGGGGGGGGGGGGGGTGGGGGGGGGGGGGGGGGGGGGGTGGGGGGGGGGGGGGGGGGGGGGGGGGGGTGGGGTGGGGGGGGGGGGGTGGGGGGGGGGGGGGAGGGGGGGGTGGGGGGGTGGGTGGGGGGAGGGGAGGGGGGGGGGGGGGTGGGGGTGGGGGGGGTGGGGGGGGGGGGGGGGGGGGGGGGGTGGGGGGAGGGGGGGGGGGGGGAGGGGGGGGGGGGGGGGGGGGTGGGGGGTAGGGGTACTGTAATTTTTTATATAGGAGAAACCTAACTAAGCCCGAATGAAAAATTAGAGGAGTTAAATAAAAAAGTATATTAATTATCAACATATAGTAACTAAGATTGTCAAGTATTAGTAACTATCTTTCCTTAATTTTTATTCAAAAAATCGATTTTTTTTACCAGTCCTGGTCTTGGTCTTGCAACAGTTAGGCGGTTACTTTGCAAGACCAAGACCAATTTTGGGCAACACTATACAGGTTATTATGGACTCCTGAAATATATGAAAAGTAATACCCTTATACGATCAACTAAACTTCTCGTATACAAAGTTCTTCAATATAGGTCTGAAACATGAAAAATGACGTCATTGAAAGAATAATACCAGTTTTTAAAAGGAAGATACTTCTAAAGATGCTTATCCCAGTACAGGAGAATAATGAATGACGAATAAAACAACCACGAACTAGCCAACATAAATAAAAAGCCTAATGAAATGAAATATATTCGGCTAGAAAGATGGATAGGCCAATTTGTACGGACGGACGAGACCTCAACCCCAAAGAAGCAGCTCAGTTTGGAACCAAGTAGAAACAGCAAAGTGAGAAGATCGGAACTGCATAGATGGACCGAGTGGACGGCTGCTCGCGACAGAAAAAAGTTGAAGACGATTCTTGAGACAGTCGACGTCTAGTAATGGATTGTACTGCTCATGTGATAATGATGATTATGTCACTTTATCTTTGAATCGGACTCCTAGATAATAATAATTCTATACTGTAATACTGTAAATCTGGAGATCTTAGAGGCCAACTAGTTGGACCACAGCGACTAATCTAACGACGTTAAAACATTTTATTCAAATATTGCCTCATCTGGTAAGCCCAAAGAGAAAACTAAATCGTAAAAAGTATGAGTCTCTTGCAATTTGCTATAATGAAAAAGCCAATTAAATAATCTTGGACAATACCAGTAAATGCTGGTATTTTCAAACATTTATTAAAATAAAAAAGTCAATAACCAAAGTTCTTATACATCTATGAAATATTGTTTATTTGTAATCAGCCAATATTTAAAAAAAAAATGATTATCGACTAAGAACATTTATTTAGAGTTTGGGCCGTTCAACCCAAGTCACCTATGAATATAAAATAATTAAAAGTAAAATTTTAATTGATGGATTTACATTATTTTGATGTCTTGAAGAAAGCTAAGGTAATCTTTTAAAACGTTAAGATATTCTTTAGCAATACGTAAAAAAAAGAAAAAATAC